AGCTGGTGAATGAAAATTTTAAATGGATAAACTGAAAAATTACAGGTACCCCGGTGTATGACATGCAGAGTGCTTATGATATGAAAATATGAATTATTTATATCTTCTTTAAATGTAGAATGTAAATTTGTTTTGAATTAATTTCTGTTGGGAAATCACTACACAGTAAACATGACTGTCTCTTAGGGCAAAGATTTTTCTTTCTAATTATTATTATTATTATTATTATTATTTTATCATATTGTCGTTTGGAGAGGAGAGGAAAGTAGCAAAATGTATGGTAGTTAACTGATTAGGTAATAGTTATGCTGGAAAATTAAGCAGTTTATTTTTTGGCAAAACACACCTTTAATCTAGACAGCTATCAAGGAGTGTTGGAGTTGGATTCCCCAGTATGACCATCGTATCGTCCTGGTGGCACAAATATGCCAAAAACCAGCTGCTGGATCTTCTCAGCCGGCATAGTTATCCTTTAGATTGTGTTGGATGTGAAAAAAAAAAACTGGCTAGAGCTCTACTGCTTTTGCAACCCCTGATAGATAATCTCTTGGGATCCACAGGGAGGTGGTGTGGATTGTGTTGGGGCCAATGCAAGCATAGATCTGTTTCTAGGATCTGGGAACTACTATGAGATATATCCTCATCCCTGGTGTGATATATGGAATCCCAGTCACTCTTAAGCAGGAGATGTTTGTGAAAGGAAACAGCCACATTTATTATGATCAACTAGCACATTTATTTGTTTTGGACTAATTTCCTTTCGTTTCTATAAATCAGTGTTAAAATTGGAGAAATATATTGATTTGAGGAAATGGGGGGAAAGTGTTTGTTTTAGTACAAATATAATCAAAATTTGACAATGTGCTGTTACTAAATTGATATTCGAATGGTATTGTCTTAAATATATGCAGGATGATTCACCTCTGCATTGCACCTGCTTTATACTTTTGTAATTCAGTGGGGTAATTCCAACATAAAACTGAAAGAAAGCACTGGGGAATTGGGCTCTTTGAACAGAGTCACCTTTTAAATGTCCTTTGTAACCTTAGCAGTTAAAAAACTGAGGCCAAGTGTTTAAGGCTTGTTCCTGTAAAGAGCCCCCATTCCCTTCACTGGGGCTCTATGCAACTGCAGGACTATTTCTGGATGGGGTTCATGGCCTAAAACAGGATCCTGAAATCAGTGTCAGATGTCTTCATTTGAATGGAAAGGTTTACTGGATGGTCACTGGTCATTGCTTATGCTCAATCCATTTCTTTCTTTCCTTGGCATTCATTACCTGGATAGTAATAATTACACAATAGGTTGAATGTGGTAGATTAAAAAAAAAAGAAGAAAAAAGGATTCTTATTATATAATCAGCACTAATTGTTTTAATTATTTGTAGCTTTGATTTGTAACACATCTGGATGTGAAACTGTTCACTAGCTTCAAACCATGTTATGCCCGTTCTCAGTCCTCTGACAATGGGTAGATGATGAGCTAAAGACGTAAAGATTTTTGTTCTTATTATTTTGGAACAACTGCTCTCCCGTTTTCTGCTGTTTTCTTTTCATGGACCATTAGCAGCTTCCAAAGGCAATATCCTTTCACTGTCACACTATGCCATAGGGTGCCATTTCAACAACTTCAGACGAGGGCATTAAGTACAATTCTGGATGAGAGTCAGAGCATAACCAAATAAAAATAATAAAGGAAAGCTTGTAAGAGCAATTTGGAATGCTGTCCTGTGCTGAATTCATTTGTAGCTTAGCAGAGAGCTACCAATCACTGGTGATCAGTACAATACTCTGCAGCACCTTATTTAATTGTAAAGTATTTCATACCCTAAGAAACATCACTGCTCATTTGCTTTTCCTTTTTCGGTGATCATCTTAGCTGAATGCTGAGCTGCGAATCAGTGGGAGGGGAAGAAAATTCATGTTTCTAATTCAAGGGAAATAAAAATGGACTTCTTGGTGCTCTTATTCTCCCCTCAAAATAAATCTAAAGTCACATGTTCCTTAGAACACACATACAATCCAGGCAACCTCCCCTGCCCCACAGTCATTCAGTATTCACTGAAACTCTTAATGCCTGAGAGCCAGATTCTGACAGATATTGTATTCAGGTACATGCCAAATGATCCTCCTGGCCAGCAGTGGGGGCACAGGATGGAAGTGATTTGCTCTACCCTATCTTCCCCTCCAAAAATCCAGGAAAAACCATTCTACAAGTCCTTCACAATAGCCCTAGGTGATGGAGAAGGCACAGGCTGTATGTGTGTACCCAAACACCCCCCTCACTTGGCACTGGCTGATTTGGCACTGGCTTTTGTGTGTTCAGTCCTCTGTGCAAATTATTCATTCTTCTAGCAGGGAAAATCTGTAAGGTGTACTATGAATGAATTGCTCAGAGCTAGGAGATAGGCAGACATTGCCTCCAATTTTGCAGTGCCTCCCTGCACCTATTTGGAGGTGATCGACATGCTATTCAGTTTGTACTGGCTAGAATCTGGACATAGGGATCTCTCTATATATAACAAGCTAGCATCTGGAGAACAGAGCAGTCAAGAGGATTAAGGGCAGGGCTGGGAGATGGCAGAGCTAGGTTTCTAGTCCTTGCTTTCCCACTCACTTGGGCAAGTTACTTAACATCTGTGTGCAGCGGCATCAGTACGATGGGGATAATAATGTATATGCTCAGGTATATAAATGTTTTCTCTAGCACCAATCTCTGTAATATCTTAACACACACACTGAGGGTGCTGTGAGGCTTTGCAAAGCACTGTGAATATTCATTACGCTTTGTGTTACCGTATTAGGAATAATGCCCTAGCTTCTTGCCTTGTAAGAATTCGATTTTGACTTGAGCTGTACGTAAATATAGTTGTATGCTCACCTCTAATTTGTTGAACAGCATCTAGTCTCTCAACTATTGTAAATAGAAAGCCCAGTAGCATAAAACTTTCAGTTAGCCTGGCACAATAATTGACAAGCTAGTGGCACACTAATTGACAGTCCAGTGACAAGCACAAGGATGGGCATTGCAGACCAGGATACAGTTGCATAGGCTGGGCCGTATGAAAGAAATTTGCAAAGTTAGGGCATTCACTGCACTGTTGTATACAGCCTAATGCAACAGGACTTTGAATTAGTTGGTCTCTAGCTGCTACCCTATGAAATCTAGCATTTTATAGTGTTCTAAGTGACTTTCACCGCCATTTTGGGGTAGCCAATAATACGTAGCAGTACTACTTCAACGGAGATTTTCAGTCTTTATTGGAGACTACCTGTCTGGTTGCATTTTCAGTGCGTTAGAAAAAAGATTACCTGCATCCTCACCCATGTGAGGATAAGGGAAAATTGAATCCCTCATGATCTTGCATCACAGTGTCTGAAACCACCATTTCAACTGTGGAAACCACATAGCAGCTCTGCCTGGGCTAACTGTGAAGTAATTTCCTCTTCTTGTCAGGTGATTGTCCTTGTAATTAATCCACATCATGCTATGTATGCATGCCTAAAAACAAGGATCTGGCCAACTTAGTGCTGCTTTCTTTCCGTTCTGCCTCTTTGCCTGTTTTATGACACACCACATTTTATTCGACACCTTTGATTGTTATCTTCTTATTGTACATTCGCTAGAAAAGCAAAAAAACCCCTCTCTAAAACTGCTGGACTGAAAATGAAATATGCGATGGCTGCAGGCTATATTTTTCTTTGCTGGGAAGCACTGCCATGATAATTGTTTCTACGAAAAGAAACTACTACTCTGGAAAAAAAAAACACCACAACACCCTCTGTTTGCTTGAACCTACCATAAACTATTGCTAGTAATTATAGAAGCCAATTGCACAACAGCTTAATTTGATTTAATTGGCTATTTTTTAAAGCTGCAACACAATAAAAATAGAACACAAACTCAGTACACAGGTTCTGGAGATGGTAAATTTCACTTGAGTGAAAAGCCATAGATCTTAACTGAAGGTGTTTGATTGTAATTCACTTTAGGCAGCTATAATATTTAAAACATTTTATTTTTCTTTTTGCACTGCACTACATTGAAAAGTGCAAAGACTAGGCTTTGTCTGTCACTTTGAACTGAAGTAAGTATTGTATAAAGATTATTCAGAGAGAAGGAGGGGGAAGGGAGAGAGAGGGATCATCTGTCAATTTTATTATTTTTTAATTTATATTCCACTTTTCCAAATAGAGTCTGTGTGACATGATTTTTTTGAGAAGCTTAACACGGGGCTGGCGTTCAGATAGTAGTTTCTCAGCACTTTCTGAAAATTAGGTCCCATTTAATGTGTCTGAAGTTGAGAACAGAGTATCATTAGTCACTTTTGAAAATTCAGGCTTCTGAGGTTTCTTTTTGTAGTACCCAGTACGTTCAGTGCACTTCCAAAACAGAAATGAAGGCATGGTCTTTGGTACAAGAGGTTAACATAATAGGCTGATGCATAGATGAGGGAGAAACATCGAAGTTGAGTAATCAAGGTAGCATTTGATCCAGGTTGAGCAACCATCAGAAAGTCCAAGCTGCCAGTACAGCGTGTGTATCCATATAATCACTGTATTGGTAGCTAAACTAGTGGTGAAACGTAATGTGCCACATTTCTGTGAAGATTCAAAGTATAAAATTGACCATTCGAATGAGGAAATAGGGCCTGAAAATTACTAATTTATATGCATACCTGATTTGGACATATCTATGGCCACAGAATTTGATAGGATATTGAATAAAACCTATAGAAAGGATCTCATCTCAAGTCATGGCTTATCCTACAAACATTTATGTAATCACAACTGGTTTAATCTGTTTTAGGTCACAGTAGACTTTTCCAACCAGGGTCACAAAACTGTTAACCGTTAACCAGGTGTTTTTAAAATCATTTAAAATAACCCCCTCTTAAAAATTCACAAAGTATAGAAATTCATCAAGCAGAATGCGTGGCTAGTCTGTTGCCTTAGGCCTATCCTATTCATGTAGGCAATAATCTTCATAAATGTAACACTTGTCTTTAGTGGGGTGTTGAACAGCACAAGGGTCAACACACCTGAATAATCTTGAAGAAGCAATAAACTATACTCCTATTACTACCCACAATTCACTTCTGACAGAAATATTAAGAATTACACATTTAGCGAAGTCCTTGTGTACATAATCAGCTCAAAACTTGTCCCCAAGTGAGTATTCAAGTTACCTCCTTTTACCTCAGTTTAGCTGGTTCCATTCTGTGTTAGATGGCTCTTCCAGAATTACAGGTAAGTTTTCTTATATTCCTTCATGAGTTTAAAATGATCTGATTTCAAAGTGAGAAATGTTTGCAACTACACTAGGAAAGGTCAAGGTTAAGTCAGGCTTAGCTAATGTGTTTGTAACTGTATTTTATTATAGATGAAAAAGGGTGGGGAGCAGTTGTGTTTGTATTTACAAAATTGGTTATGTAGAAATGGAGGTCTTGGTTGAGACCCAAACCTTTTTAGTTTGATTTCCAAAAGTACTGTACTGGGCACTCATGAAATCCATGAACATGAATGGGTGCTATTGTTACTGGGTATTTCAAAATTTAGGCCATTCAAGTATTCTGATAACCTGGCCTCACATGGAGAACTGAAGCTTCTGGTAGTATCTGTTTGATATTTTCTTTTGGAAAATGTGCAATGGCAGAGAAATATAAGGGATTCTGATCTTTAGGCATTACTATCAGCACTCCCATCACCACCAACAAAATAGGTGCTCTTACTTCCATTACTCACGTTACTTTCATATTGTGGAGTGTGCTGTGAACCTACATAAAACTACTTATGCCCAGTCTTTAAACATGTCAGTACTTCCACTGAGTCAACTGAAGTTTAATGAGTTATTACAGAAAAATAAGCCATCTGTGTATATTACCAACAAGGTGATTTAATTACTGTAAGTTTTATTGTGTATTTTTTCTATAGGCATACAATTTATATTAAACCCATATTTGTTTTTCTGAAGATGAGCTCAGGGTTTTAAATGCATTTATACAAGTTTATGTAACGACAGAAATGATTGCTTTTGTATAGTAGGTAGATGAAGTTAATAATTTCACGTTCCTAGCCAATGGGCTAAATTCTGTTTTCACATATGTACATACTTTTATTTTATGATGGAGCACTGCCATTTACTTTTCATTTTTTTTCCTAAGGAAGCTAATTAAAAATCTAAATGCATAATTTAAGTGGCAAGCCAAGAATTGCAAAAATGAAGGGCTCATCTCTTTTGCACCACTTCTATGATACAAAGGGGGTCTCTGGTCTCAGCTGTTCTTCCAGAGGGTCCCCTAATGTTGGAGTCCCTAAAGGCCTCATAGTTCCTGCCCTGGAGAATGGGTAGTAAGAAGAGTGGCTGGTTTGTGTCTGAAAGGCCATGCTGCCAGATGTATGCTAAAAATTCCTCTAAGTTGTCCTGACTACCAATTGCCCCAGGGAATAACTGGTATGCAAGGACACCTTAGCCATGGCCTTTGTGCTACTGGTTGGGAGGCAGTGTGGTGTTGGAGCTTCTGTGTCTGGTTCTCTGCCACCCACAGAAAGCTTGACACAATGGGCAGTTCAAATGATCACTTACCAATTTAAGTCAATGTGACCATGCTTCACCTTTCAGGTGAAATATTCAACAGCAGCCTGCAGCTCTACATAACACTGAGAGGGATCATTTAATAGTCAGCTGAAACCAGCAACTGATGGTAGTTAAGCGTAATGCAGTTGCTGGAAATGGTCTTTGGCCACAATACCCAGTGCTCTTATAGAAAAGGGATATTCAATAACCAGATTCCTGCTTTGATGCCTCATCTGAATGATGGAAGCCCTAAGTACATGGTGTTCCCTAACAGCATGCTCTATGGTTTAGTACTGAGCCAGGAAGCAATCTGAAACACCAGTATCATTGTGTGCTGCTAAAAAAAAGGTGGGGGGGGAGTCTGCTGATACATATTTTAAAGGGCATGGAGGTATCACAAACCCTGTTTTGTTTCACCGGCCTTTTTTGAAACTTTGCAGCCTGGAAGAAGTGAATTATCTCCTCATTCCCCATAGCAAAGTATCTGTTTTTTGAGACAGTGACAGAAGCGAAGAGGCATCTTGTTCATGACCATTTCCTCTGTTTCATCCTATGCAAAATGAAAATATCAAGAAATGCAAACAGTTGTGGTCATTGAGGAATTTGTTGTCCTGTGAATTTTCTTTTATATGCTAATTTTGAAAGATAGAATATAAGCTATCTGGTGCATTTAATTGCCTCAGTTGAGCACGTATGTGCCTGGAGCCCTTGGACTGCTTTTTCCCATTTGTGCACACTGTTATTTCAAACAATTAAATGGTGCCAGTTATGGAAAAGTATAATTATTTAAGTGTAACTTTGTTCCAAGTCCCTTCTCTATAACAAATGGCATTGTCATTAAACGGGGGTCAAATGATGGAGCTCTGACTAACCACCCAGATTACTGATGGGCTGGCACCCATTAAAAGATGATGTTGTTTGATGCATGCCAAGTTGGTTGAATGCTGGTGTGTAGCTGGCCTTGGAAGAAGAATGATTTGATCTCTACCTTTTATAGGTAAATTCTGACATCATGTGGTGAAACATACATATTTGCATTATAGCTATTTTTAAAGGGAATTATCTTATAGCAAGGAACTGGTTCTCAGTTGATGGGTTGAATCCTATGCTACTGACATACGTTAAATAACAGGCCAAATTTCTTTAATGCATGGAGCCTTGGGTACACAAGGTGAAATACATTACGTAGTAGGAAAGCACAATAGTTTGCACTCACTTCACACTGCTTGAAATGACAAGGTACCAGACACTGAAGAATCTGCTGCAGTATGAAGATCTAGTGAGGAAGAAAGCAGCTTTCACATCACCTATCATGTTGAACAATTCATTTTAAAATCTAGTCCAACTTCACTGACAAAACTTTGACAAGAGTGGGAACAGGATTGGGCCTTTTAAATCATTAATGCTTCCAACTTCATACTTACCACCTCCGGTAAACCAATCAAAGTAACTGCAAAGTGAGCTTGCAGCCAGCTCTTAAGAAGATCATCTGATATCCTCACTTTGCAATTGAGAACCTGGCAGCCTGCAAGCCTACTTTCAAGGAAAATAACAGAACAGAAGGTGGTGTGGTGTCATCTGTTTCAAATCTGACTGAGTGAGATATGTGATAAAATGATAAAATTGGAAAACTGAAATCCTTTGCACAGGCACCTTGAATGGAGGGGTCCCACTTTAGAAATTTTCTGAAGACACCTTTCTAGGTGTCTAGGTGTTTGTAGTATTGCAGTGAAATTAAATTGGTGCAAAGAGCACTTAGAAAGCAGCAGCGGTTAGCATCTGTGATGTTGAAATTACATTATAAGAAATATCCTTGCTGAACTCAGGAAGGGCCTGAGTCAACCCCTCAGAAAACCCTAACCTACCTATAAATCTCTCTTACACATCCTCAGTTCCTGACCCCTGCCTCAGCCCCTTTCTAGTAGAACAAGGGGCCAGAAAATAAGTTTAATCAGCTAGCTGGGTCTTCTTGAGGAGCCCCTTTAGCCTGCCTTTTCACCCCAAACCATCATAATCTTACTAACCACCTACATTTGGAATATAATTTCCAGTCCTGGTTGGTTTTTAGAAGTACCAGGACACCTGCCTTTCTTGAGGGTTTCTGCCTGACACTAAGAGGTGCAGAAGTTTGAATAGTTGTCTTCTGAACTTTTTTGAAATCCCATGAAAGATCATGTTTTACTTTGGGGTAAGGTCAGTTTTTAGTTGATCTCAGTTGACATGCCATCCATGACAGGGATATAATAATCCCTACATAAAATGAAACATTGGGACTTCAGATTCAGGAAGGGCTTCATACTCAGTGAAGACTAATTTACATATTCATTTGCATACTTTTCGTCTTATTTCCCCTTATACTTGTCTTTGAAAAATGCTTTTTTGTGTGTGTGCACTTCTCTTAACCTAAATATTCATTTCTTTTCCCTGTACATTGACATTGCCTTTGGCTAAGGCAACAACCAAATAAAACCAATGTGCAAACAGTAGAGTAAAGCCACTCTTGGCTTGCTGGATTAAAAAATGTCCAGATTTAAGGTTATATTCTCCCTTCTAATTGCAGCAATATGCACATGTTAAAGGCAAAAGTATATTCCCAGATGTGAGAAAGTGTGGCTGTCTTGATTTTGCTGCTGTGTTACTAGGTTTCAGCTACACCTGTCCAAAACACTGGGAAGTCTGGAGTAGATTCTCAGGTGGAGTAAATTAGCAAAGCTTCATTTCGTTTGGTAGAGTTGCACCAATTTATAACAGTTGGGGAATCTTACCCTTAGTGGAGTTTGTCTGACTTACAGCAGCTGAGGAGCCAGCTAAAACCATTTATGTAAATAAATGGTTTTAGCTTTCTTCATAGGTAGCTAACGTTTCTGGTAGTTAAAATTACTTCTGTCACGTGCAAGTACAGTAAGTAGTTTGCTGAAAGCAAAGCAGCAGTATCCTTTGTTCTGGAGTTATTTTTGTCTCCTGAGGGACTGACCATTTAGGGTCGTTACCCATGAGACATGATGAGCACAGCAAAGCTATTATCTTAACAGGTTATTGGCCACTGTCTGGTTGAAACCTAATGCTCTTTGCCACTTGGGAGTACTTGCCACTTCTGCTGTCTGCTTCTGTTCTCATACTTTGGCATATTGTTATTTTGCAACTACTTAGGGGTTAATAGTCTCTGGCTCAAGAAACTTGTTGCATTTTTGGCACTAAGGCTTTGGCCTTCTGCCTATAGTTTCTAAACTGATTTTAAAGTGAAGGCACTGCTGTGATAGTCTAGCAGTGATAAGCATTGACCTCTTGAATCTTCTACTGGTTTTTTTTAAATCAATTTATTTGCTATTTGCATTGACTCTTTGAATTTGACTGCACGTAGGGCTTGACACGATGCATCTAAACTGATAAATCAAAGAGATTTACTGAAAGAAGTAACTTGTGAACTACGAACTGTAATCAGTTACCTCACTGGGATTTATATAGCAAAAAATTACCATGTGTTATTACATCACTGCAATGCTGTACAGTTTGGAGAAGTAGCCTATCAGTTCAAGGTAATCTTTGCCATTTAATTAAAAAAGATATGCACCAACAATATGACTAATGGTGATCAGGACCATTGTAAGGTTTTGCATTCATTTCCTTGTATTTATAACAGAAGTCACGTTTGACTACTTGAACAGAGAGCTCATGTCTGGTCAGATTAGGATACTTGAGTTTTGTCCTTGAACTTCTTGATATCAGATGGGCACAGCAGTCTTAGAATTTCCCACTTCACGCTATGAGATACGACAATGTATCTTTTGTCCAGCTTGCTGTGCTTTGCAACTTTTCTACATTTTAGGCTTTAGATGTCTGGATGAGTTTAGGTTTTGTGGTTCTTTGTTTTCATACCAAATTGCCACTAATTGTTTTTACAACAAGCAGTTTTGTTTGTTGCAGTTATAAGGCAGTTGGCTCCACTGGCTTTTTTAAACTAACTTTTGGTTTATTTATGTATTGTGTTACAATGAGGTTGAATGTGCTTTGCAAATATATTAAGAGAGTGAATTAACAGACTGATTCCTTAAAAATGGATACCTCCTGCATTTTAAACTCAACATCTCATAAGTAATTTGTCCAATGTGGTTCCAACATCTCTGCCATCCATCAATAAACTATGTGCATGTGGTTTCTGTTTAGACAAGTATTTGAGGGTTGTTTTCCCCATGATAGACGGAAAGAATCTAAGCTGGGTTTGTTACATATATCCTTTGAACTCCTACCTGAATTTAGGTGTAAAGTGTGCCACAGATTAAGTAATTTGGTCAAGGGCAGGCACAAAAATCTGTCTGCAACTCAGTCCTTCATTTACAAAACACAGTACTCAGTTTCTTCTACTCTCAACATTTTCTGTGTTATGCAGTATCAGGTGCAAGGGGTAAGCTGCATCTTGCTTTGATCTATGCACCATCATAATACAAATGACGATGGTGATGATGTAACCAAACTCCACCTTTTTCATTTTCTGGAGTTTTGCTCAATTAAACGAACAAAACTTTGTACTCTAAAGGGCATGTGCATCATGACACTGTGTGTGGTCTGAAATCTTGTGCAGAGACAGATTGAAATGCTGATACTTTAATGAAGCTTTAGGTATGAGGAATAATATGCTGTCATATTAAATGACTTGATAGTGAATTATTTCACCAATTTGCAAGTTGCCATAACACTGTAAACAAAAATAAAAACCCTTGCCCATAGAAGCCTTCAAAAAAGACTGAATCACAAAAAAACTTATATTTGCGAATAGCCTAAATATAAGAGTTGTTATATTATCACAATAATTTCAAAGTAAAAGGATAAAGAAAGGAAGCCAAGTATTTCATAATGAATGCAGCATATAGCTTTTAAACAGGGCTAACATATGGACCACTAATGTGAATGTGAATGCAAATTAGATACTTTTGATTGCTTGAAATAAAGTCAGCAGAATCCAAGCTTCAGAAAGCAAATTGTGCAGATTTAACTACCTGAGTGCCACAAACAGAATACTGCTCATACAATATTTCCATATGAAACAAGGTAATTAAACTAATTAAGCTACTTTTAGGAAACCTGCTGTAGATAACTTGAGGATGAATTGTGTGCTTGCTCTGGAAATACCTGGTTTTGGTTTACCTGGTATTTATAACCTCTGTTTAACCTTGTTGGGCTACTTGTTGTGATTTCACTGTTCCTATCTGCAGGTGTTTCACAAGATAACTGTCATTTTGAGAGACTGTGGAGTGCAATTTTCTAATGGATATGTAGCAGAAGAACTGGTATATAGTGGGAAGTAGCAGTTGCTGGGAACTCAGTTCTCCTGATTGAAGAGAATTTAGCAGGCGCAGTGCTAGAGATGTTAAGTAGGTAACTAAAGGGCGATGGTCCCAGACGCAAGTGCACTAATGCAACATGTATCAGCACAAAGCAAGGACATTTTACCACACATCCAGTCTTCTTGTAGTGCAAGCAGGAGGGCAACAATAAACTATTTTTTTTCCTTCTCAAGTCATTTTCTGTCTTGAGAAAGCCATAGGCTGCTTGATGCAAGGGCAACATAGCAGGGCTGCATGCTGATATGCACTTGCTGTGACCTTACTTGTGCAGCAGGTCTGTCACTCCAGTGTGCATCTCAAGTGGAGTATCATGCAGTTGGTTGAGCTGCAGGCAAGAGCTGCAGTTTTGACACTGGCAGCCAGATGCCACTGTGGAGTAAGGCTCTTGGCAGCCGGGATGAGCTGGGAAGGAAAGAACTGAAGTGGTAGGATCAGGGAGGGGCTCAGCTGCTAAGACCAAAACCGGAGAGGGCTCAGTCTTAAGTCCATCTTCCTCCAGGCAAGCCTCAGCCCTTGCCTTCTAGCAGAACCCCTTTCCCTGAACCCTATGAAAACACCTTACTATTTCCAGAAAGGAATCATTTCCATCCAGCTGCTAGTATTTGTTCCTCTCTTGGATAGTGCCAATCCATCTTCTGTCCTGCCTTCACATACACAACCTCACCCACCTAGTCTCAGCAGCACGCAACATCGACACCGACAGACCTGCCTCCTGTAGGCATCAAAACACCCGTAAAAGTGCTCCAGATAACTCCTGATAGCAGCCAGCCAATGTAGCAACCTTAGATGCCCACTAATATCCCCCCTCACTTGCCTTGGCACCCAGTGACACCCACCCAATGCCAACGCCAACCCCAACCTGAAACTCAGCCACCAAGTTTTGGGCATCTTTCAACTTGTCTCTGTCATTGGTTGGGGGAGGGTGTAATGACCATAGCCTGAAATTTAGGATCAGAGGCAAAATGTTGAATAAGCCAATTTAAATATTTTAAATAATTTGTGCATTAGCTTATTGAATAATATGCATAAGCATACCTGTGGAGTCATGCAAAACCTGGCAGCTGCGAAGAAAGAATTTTCTTTAATTGTATTAATGATTAGGGGAAAAAAAGTAAACAGATACTAGATCACACTTATAGTTGCAATTAAATTAAGGTGGGTGGAATTTAGTTTTCAACTCATTTAGTTTTACTTGCTAAATTCAGAACCAGCTATAAATGGACGAAATTCCATTCACATCTATAGTGCCACTCATTTTTGCCAAGGCTTAATTTTTACATGAATATTTTTTGGTTTCCTTTAAGACTCACTTCCAGTACTGGCTACATGGGAGGGAAAGGAAAGCTTGTGAGCCCCTAATCTTAGCTGAGCACAACATCCAGATCATCAATACACAAAGTCTTCTTGGTGAAGATGCCTGAAGGTCATTCCAAGCAGTTGTTCCTCAACTCTGAAACTCCCTCCGAGGCCCATCAGAGCCCAAGCCTGGACATCTTAAGAAGTGCTGCAAGACCTTCCTATTCAAGTATGAATTTAGCAAATAAAGCTAAGCTAAGACATGTAGTGGATGTCTGCCTTGCATTGACATTCTAGTTCCCATTTAAGTTGCTTTGTTATTATCCTGTTTTATAAGTATTCTGTTTCTCTTATAAGTCACCCTGAGCCTTGTTGGGAAGGGCAACATATAAACTGAAAAAATAAATGAAAGATTGAATAAATAAGGTGAATAAATAAATAAAATCTCTTTACAGTGATAATGTCAATTATAGACCTGTGTTCCAGAACTGCTTCCACTTTTAAAGCAACTATTCTAACCTATAAGAAAATTCTATTGCATGCAGTAGAAGTGGAGTCCACTTCTCAGGGTGCCCAATCTTGCCTTGCAGTTCCACAGCTACAGGTTTAACCCTGTCAGAGGCACTTTTGCTAGCATATCCAAGTCACTTATGGGGGCTGATATAAACTATTGCAGAAAAAGCACAGTTTTGTTGAAATAAGCTATATCTACTCTTATGTACTGTACAACCACTTTGCTGTTATACCTCTAATAGTTTCACAGTGTGCCCATAACATGGACCTGGCCTCAGTTATTTACTGTCTGTACAAAAACCAGTAGCATGTTCAAATCTGAATATGTCGAGATACAGAAAAAAACAAATAGAATTTCATATCAAAATTAAAGTTAATGGAAACACTGCAACTTAGTAGAGCTCAGCCTTTTAGAGTGGTGGTCTGGCTGCTTGTGAGCTTGTTGCACTGTGGGCCACCATTCCCCTCGGGCAGAGAAGGCAGGGGAAAGAGATAGGGCAGAGGACAGTGGCCACCAATGTCAGAGTGAGGGGAGGCAGAAAATGGGGAAGGGAGAGACAATGAGAGCTTAACAAAACAAAGGAGTAAAACTTGTTAATCTAAATTTATCCATTCTTATACCATTGGAGCTAACTGAGGATGCATGGTTTAAAATTACTTACTGAAAAAAACAGGAGTCTTCTTTATTCAGAGAAGAAAGGAAGATTTAAACTAGCATTATTTATATATACCTTGTATATCTGAAGAGGCTTATAGCCATCATGTTCCCTCTTGATTTAAATGCTGTTATATGCCATGGGGCATGTCTGTATGTGCCCCAACTGCACAGTTGTTACTGCACAGTCATTTAGTGCTTGCTTTAGTGTCCGTGGGCATGAACCTTGATGCTGATGCTACTGTGCAGTAGGGTTGGAAATGGCCCATGCACCACTGGGACTGGGCAGTAACGGCAGTTACAGTGCACTCATTTAGTACTCATTAAAGCAAGTACTGCTGTTACTGCTCAATCCCAGTGCTGCATCATTCATTTCCAACCCTACTGCACAGTAGCTTGTTCCTACTGCACAGTAGCGTCAGCAACACAGTTTGTGCCCACTGACACTGTCTCCATAGTGACTAGCTATGTTGCCATACCTCATCAATACAGCCAGCAATGTAGCATCTTGTGACAATGCGCCCCATGTTGAGTACCTTTGGATATTCCTGTTACTGACTACATTGTATACTACATTGATAATTTATTAGTGTTCCCTTTTGATGTGAATAGAGCAACCGGAAATTTCTCAAGGTAGAGAGAATTATGCAGTCATAGAAAAGCTTAATGCAGCTATCCCCAAAGATAAGAAATATTTTTTTGCCATGGTATTTTGCTGACTTATGAATACATTTGTAGTGGGTAAATACTGGCATTGACACTAGAGGACACAGTTACTTCACATGAAATAATGATACACCACACTCAATTTTGGCACATCCTCACCTGTCCATACCAGTGACGGAGCATACCACAGTGAACCTTGGCTTCAGTAAACGTTCATAGATTCATAGATGCTACGGTCAGAAGGGACCTCAATGGATCATTGAGTACAACCCCCAAACACGTCCTCTGCTTGCACATGCACATGATATTCTCTAAATGAGCAGGCAAATAATGGCTTCACAAATAATACAGCGCACACTTTCAAAGAGCTGCCTACTTTCTGCAAGGTGCTGAGGACTCACAGCTTCAAGTCACTGGGAGTTGAACTTGGGCAACATCTTCTAGGGTCAGGACTGTTTTACACAAAACTACAAACAAGTGAATGGCCACATTTTCCAAATTTGACTCTATACATGTGGCATTTTTGAGTAGGTCCTTTACTATTCGGAGGGAGAAAAAGGACAATTTAGTAGTAAGGATATTAGTCTAGGACTTGAGACACCTATGTTGTTTTCTCTGCTCTGCCCCAGGCTTCGTGTGTGACCCTGGTAGGTCATTTAGAGTCCCTGTGCTTTTGCTGCACACCTATGAAATGGAGACAATAGCACTTCATTACCTCTCTGGTATCTGTGAAAATACAGATATTAGGATGGAAGCTCTCAGAAATGATGGTAATGCAAATCTTGTAAATACATAAATTAGCAAAAGCTAGTTAGATTTATGTATAATCTCCATGTAATGCAAATTTACTGGTTTCCATTTCAGAAATACAGATTTCTGGCCCAACTTCAGAAACAAATAGGTTTGGATAGGTTTATCTAAGCTTCCACACTTATTAGAATGCTAATCGGAGCTAAATCAATTCTTCAAGCCTCTTGAGTTCCCATCTTCAAAAAGGAAAGGAAAGAGGACCCAGGGAACTACAGGCCAGTCAGTCTTACCTCGATCCTGGGCAAGCTGTTTGAGAAAATTATTCTGGCACACATCCAGGAGGGGCCAGCAGGGAACTGCATGCTCAGGGGCAACCAGCACGGGTTCATCAGCGGCAGGTCCTGTCAGACCAACCTGGTGGCCTTTTACGACCAGGTCACTAAATCATTGGATGCAGGGGTGGCAGTGGATATAGTTTTCCTAGACTTCAGGAAGGCTTTTGATACTGTCTCTCACCCCATTCTCATTAGGAAGCTGGGGG